TTCGTCGCGACCGCCTCTTCCTCTTCCGACGCCAACGCTGCCACCATTTCCGTCATTACCTCCCGCTCCACCCCCTCCGGCTTCGCTGCCGCCATCACTACCACGACCGCCGCCGCCGCTACTACCAGTACCGCCGGTCCCACAGCCACCTCAGCGTCGCCTATTTTCCATCTTCGCCGCCCTCTGTTTCTACCCGACCGCTTCCTCCGACGCCAACGCTGCCACCATTACCGGCATTACCCCCCGCGCCACCCCGCCGGCTCTGCTGCCAAAGCTGCCTCCGCCAGTACTGCGACCGCCGTCACCGTCACCTCTACCTCCAGCGACCGCCTTCTCCCACGCCATCTCTTCCGCAGTCACCGCCGCCGCCTCCACCACCACCACCGCTTGCGGCGGCGTCCGCGTCCGCGACGACGCCAGTCGCCCACATTGCCTCGCGCGCTGTCCCGCCCGCTCGCCCGCCCCGCCACTCGCCCGCGCCACGCGCCGGCGGCCTTATCTCCCGCGGCTGATACTCCGCAAGCGGCGAGCGCCGCGCGCCCGGGGAATCACCAGCGCCGCGAAGGCGGAGGTGCGGGTTCGCCAATGGGGAAACTTGGCGCGCAGGTGACGGTGGGGGCGTGGCCCGCGCGGAGGCGACGGCGGCGGCGGCCACCGCCACCTCCGCGGCGAAGGCGGCGGCCGTCAGTGCCTCACTGACACGCGCCATGGCGACGTCTGAGAAACCGCGTCCTTCCTGGGAACTCCAGCCGCAGAAAGGTAAGCCGCGCTCACACGTGGTGCAGATTCAATCTGCGGGAGGGAGATTACGCTCCGCAGTTGCATCTTTGATCGCTGTAATTGTAGCATCCTGTGGCGGCAATTAGCGGCGATCTCAAGTGAAGATGTACTACCAAGGACTGAGCCATTCCAGTTCATTACTTGGCATGGCATGACTGGTGGGATGAGACTCTGATGTGTATGTGAATATTAATATCATGTTCAAATTCTAATCAGAAGGAGGGACATTAATATTTTACGCTTGAGTTGAAATACATATAATACGACTAATATCCCAATTTGCCTAATTCACGGATTACGCAGCGAATGTTGACATTTTTCAAAATGAATGGAGAATGTCCCATGCAGGACCATATTAAGTAGAATTAAGTTGATTCGAGGTGGTTTTTAGGTGAGGTACGTCACGATAACGAGGAATAACATTATGTGATAAACAGAGTCGAACTGCAGGAGAGGAGTTCTGATTAGAGACTTTTAGGCCTTAAGACTAGTGAAAGACAGAATGTATGAAATCATGTTTCACTGAGTCACACGTAAATTAATATTCACACGATGGCATTTAATCTAACCTCACTTTATACCCCAACTGACGCTTCGGGACACGTTTCTGTGTCGGAATTTTGATACTTAGGTCATCACTTCAGCACTTTACGTAAATTAACTCCTAGTTTGTGCAAGCATTATTTCCAACATATTTTTATGCCAACATACTCTTCGCGACCTCAGCACGCGTTGGACAAACATCTTATTAATTATCAAGCGTCCTGTAATAACAATACCAAAATTAGCCAGATGACGTTCGAAGTAACACGTTCATCGTCATCATACTCTATAAATACGTCATACATCTTTATCCACACCGCCTGGCCAATGTGCGAATTAATCAATTACTCCAAACATTACCCATAGTTCGGACTTGAGTCGAAACATACATTTCTACGCTTGTAAATTGTAGCAACTTTTTAGATCGCTTTTTAACTACTAGGCCATGTAGCGACCACTTCGATTTTTTTCTTTGGGGTAACTGTAGGGGCACACGACACGTAAGGACAACACAAAGGCATACACAAACGCACCCATGCCCGAGATGAGACTCGAACCCGCGATCAGTAATGTAAAACATAAAATTGTAAAACTAATAAAGAGTACAAACACTATTAACACACTTTAATAATTAAAATAATTTAACAATTAAAACACTATTCAAAAGTTTTTTAATAGTGTTTGTATTCTTTATTAGTTTTAGAATTTTATGTTTTACATTTCATAGTTTTCCTTAATATCCTGTTGAAGACACTGAAGATGAGGTAATACACCTCGAAACATGTTTGTTTGTGTAATACTGTAACTGACGAATAGTTTGTTAATACATTCTGTTTGTGGAAGATCATTTCATTTTTCTCCCATTGTTTTACAATTATGGAGTTCCAAAATATTTCTGCGGAAACCACCTAATGATTCTTATAACCTGTGAGGAATGTTTCTGTCAGTGTATCCCTGACAGGAACTTTACGTCACACAACCTTCTCCGTGAACGTAATTCCTCTCGGAAGTGTCATCACTGACACGAACGTATATTCCCACATAGGCAACATGCGGACGTCCTCAGAACTTTACTGTTCAAAAGTATCGAATTTCTGCTTTATATTATTTACTAGAACGATAAACATTTTGAGCTGAAGCGCAAGGAAGTGCTTCCATTCCAGTTTATTCAACGACTTTCTTTCCAGAATGAAGAAAGCTAAAAATAACTTATATTTCCTTTTTAAAAAGTTGAAGATCTCGTGTTATATTTTCAGGTGTTCATAGTAAAATTGTTGTTGCACAATTTATGCTTGCATATTTTAATACATATATAGTTTTAAAACATGTATTATCTCTATTGATTAAAATGTATTCGTAATAAACGTGTTGTAAAATTGGCACTCATGATACTTAAATATCAGAGTATGTGCTTCACAATAAGTATAATCAACGAAACTATAAAAGAATTTGATGAGACTACCACGTTTTTAAAGAGAATATCACCTTTTAAGATGATTGTAGTAAAGTCGTTCTAATATCCAAAAGACGTCAGGGGATTCAGTCGAAACTGAAAAAAAGATTTCCTTTTCTTTTCTAAAGTAGGAAACCTTTTGAAATTTTACTTTCATTATGAGTATCAAAATAATTTGTGGAGTAAAGGAAGTGGTTTCTCAGAAACAATATTTATTTCAATGAAATGACGCTTTCACATCTACCAAAGAATGTTGCAAAGGCATAGTCCACATGCTTATCGACCTATATGTCTGTTGATAACGTTGCTAGGAAAATATATACAACGTGAGGAAGATTTACATCGTATCACTTTGAAATCTCACAAGTCGATTAGATGTCAAGATATCGACATCAAAGAACCATATTGGGTTCCTACATAATACCTTCTCTAACACTATATGGTTCATATTTTGTCTATAAATGATGACGTAATAAAGCAACGTAATCATGTGTTATTTTCGCGAGAGGAAATCATTGAAATGCGAAGATCACTCACTGAATTTTCCAATAAATACAGGAAAGATACTGTAATTCTTGAGAGTCTGCTACGATTTCAATAAAACGTTTTAAGTATTTTATAACATCTGTGTGATATTTTGTTAGAATCTGAATACATTGACATTGAGATTATGCAATTGGTAGGCCAGATCCCACGTGATACATGTTTCGTAAGAATTCTATTTAAGACTTAATTACCCTTCCGTAAGAAAAATAAAAATGTGATACCATCAAAGAGTTAATCAATTTTCCAATATGAGACAATCGCTAAATACAAAGTTCCTGTAATCCATGTCAGCCATGGGACACTTTTTTTTCAACAATAACTATGGGTCCTACTACTCATTATAAATTTATAATAGATGTACTAACATGGAATATGTCTTCAATACGTCTTAGACAAGAACGGAAAATCATAAAAGAATACACCACTATAGTACACTATTACATTACTCTTTAGTTGTGAGGAAAATATGGCCACAGTCGTGACTAGTACCTTCACTACAGTTGATATTTTAATGACTTCAAGAAATAATAAATAATAAAATTCTACGTAACTTCTACATTAAGCGAGCGACATTTTTTGCCTCATTTCATACGAAATGACATAAGTTATTGTGCAGTATTACAACAATTAGTCATTATTTTCACAAAAAAGTACACCATCATGAAGTGTGACGAAGATAATGATCTAGAATTTCCAATAGACCTCGCACTACCCGACAGAATGCTTTCTCTCTCCTCGATTATTGCGATTTTCCATTCATCCCATGTACCACTTTAAGTCATCGGCAGATTCTCAAACCCCAAAGCTCCAAGAAATTTTTGTTCTCCTCCTAGACATTTAATTTTTTTTAGAAATAATAACTTGCCTTATTTTAAAGAAAAAACCTTAGTTTAATTTTCTCACCCTTGCACTAAAATAAAAAAATGCAAAACATGATAAACCATAGACGTATATTTGATTAATTTAATCTCAAATTCACCCGTACCTATATTAAAAGTAAACGCGAAATATTGTTTATTTCATTTTCTTAGATCCGTACCTTATATCCAGGGGATATATTTTTTGAGAACAGAATCAACTTTATGAAACCTTTTTTCTTATTATTTTATGGAACCATCGTCATTATCTTCATTTTCTAAACATATATTCTTAATTCACACTGACCAGCTAGTTATAAAATGAACGGTAAAATTGATATTATGGGAAACCGAGTTAATTTATTTCGATATTCAACTTATATTCAAGTGAAATCATTTACACTTGATGGGGGATTCGAACTCACAATCAGACCAGAACAGTTGCCGCCGCTAATGCCTGCAACTTGATTGGCAATCTCGTACCTTTACGATTCTCCACGGTCTTATATTTTGAAAGTACACGTTTACTTGTGAAAAACAGTGTACCTTGAGTAAGAAGAAACCAAGTCCCTGGAATATAGAATTCATATTTGCCATTTCAATGGCATTAAAACTTGAAATACGGTCGCCCATCACGTCGCCCATATGCCTGTCGCTTCTCTACTTAGAACATTCCAAAATAAATTGAGCACGAGCTCTCTCTTTACAATGCTGATCGCGTGTCTGTTTGTTAGTACTTTAACACGCCTAAAAACTCCTTGCCTTTCTTGTTTTCTTCTTTTAGCGAATATTCAAATCATGTTAGACGACGCCTAGGATAAATGAGGCCACCGGATGTTCAACAAAGTGTTTTGCATGTCAGGTATGTGACTTGGGTAGTTGTTACCGATTGGTGTTCCAAAACAAGCTCCACGTAAGTCGAAAAAGAATATGTTTAAGATGTCCCTAAATTTATTTATTTACGTTTGTATTTCTCAATAACCGTTTTCAGAAATGCCAATTACATATAAAATTAAAGTTTTAGAACATCGCTTATAGTGAATTCACCAGTTATATTACCGTCTTAATAACCCATTCATCAACGTTTACTAAATTTAAAAATAATTGAATAACTAAAGCTGTTGGCAGTAATGTAGTTTCTAAGTAATATTAAAAAGATAAGTAAATAATTTAGTTATTTTTAGAAATATCAACCTATACTATCATGATTACCGACAGAATAAAAGTACTAATATCAATAGCATGATATTCTGTATTATCTGTAAAGTAGGTAATTCATGGTATTATTATTTTGTTTTCGACTTAGCTGACCGCACAATGAAGCGGCGTGAATGAGATACTTTCTAAGCATTGTACCTGACTCACCGCGCCCTCGAAATACGCCTGATACGAGTAATAATGATTTTTTAAACAATTATACATTTGTCTCAGCAGATAAAACTTTTCAAAACAACCACATGTGACTGTAATTATCAATGATAAAAGTCAAAGCAGGTTTGAACCAATGTGGGAAAATATACGTTCAAACATAGGTTAAGAGGAGTAAAAAATTCAAAATTTGTTCTAGCTATGCCCGTAGATTTAGAAATTAAAATATTTAATTATTAATTGAATTACAGGTCATGTAATTTTAAAGTCAATATATTTTAAACTACCAATTTAGAGTCAGCAGTCCAGTGAGGTGTAGTGTGATGAAATGAGATGGAGAGCAGTGCATACAGTGCAGTAGAGAGGAATGTATTTCGCCTTACGCAAATAATAATATTTTCTTTAATTTATAAGAAATACATCGATACACAACTCTGTATGTGTTCTATTTCTGGATAGATAGTAAGTCTCCAGTTCTGCATCAAACAGATTTAAGGCGAAAAAAAGAGAAGAAGGAACAGATATATGCAATGTATTACAATTGCAAATAATTCCAATACCATATTTGCTTGTCTCTTATAATTAGGTGATAGCGTCTATGGAGTAAAAAGAGTTTTGTGGAAACGGAGAGTTAAATGAGGCACATGGTGAAATACAGGGGAACAAAATGGGGCTAAATAGACAAAGGAGTCCATGTTGTTTTCCTACGCAGTTCTATTCAAAATGTGTCCTTCTTAAACCTTTGTACTATATTATTGGGATTTAGCTCATCTGAGCGTCCCTGCTCTGTCGCAAGAATGCTCAGCTATGAGAACTCGAATCTCGAAATTTAAATTAGGGAATTAGACACAGACATTCTTTTACGATAAAATTACATTGACTACTCGATATTCTGTTATTTTCAACCAAAACACTTATCTATTTAATATGTATTCACGCGGCAAATATTACACTTACAGTAATAGTACACGTATCTGTTACACAAACAGTACATTTATCTATTTAGTATATATTTACGAGTATTTAAGCACTACCATTCCGTGCGCATAATATCGTAATGCGCAGTTCAGGAGCTGTCTGTTCGAATTTAAGATGATTTATGAAGGGCAGACGTCTCATTAGCAGCGTGCTAGTTTTCGGTGATGCGATCGTGGTTTCGATTCTCAGTCGAGGCAAAAAGACAGTTGTAGATTTCCATTACAATGGTCTCAGTTTCTCAAGCTGTGGAACGAAAGAAAATGGCAAGCCAAAGAAGCTTGATATAGTGAAGGAAATACGTCATGATCCTCACATTTCTCCTTGAACACGAGATACGAATAATAAATAAACCCAGGGTCCAGGCGTAGGAATATCGCTAGCTAGCAAAAGCCATATTAATCCGACCCTAAAATGTCAAATACACACACGTAATGCTATTTACACCATCATCATTATCGTCATTAACATCATCAACCTTAAGTCAAGGCAAAAAAGTGCCTTGTTGCTGCCACGACATTCGGACCTCCGCTCCGCTATCCTCTTCATCTTCAACTGTAGTATAGTATATAGTATATAGTGTATAGTATATATAACTGATATAGTATTCTCTCTCTCTCTCTCTCTCTCTCTCTCTCTCTCTCTATATATATATATATATATATATATATATATATATATATATACACAAATATATATATACATATATATATATGTATATATGTACATATATATACATATATATATACACATATATATACATATATATACATATACATATATACACATATATATACATATATATATACACATATATATATATACACATATATATATATATATATATATACATATATATATATATATATATATATACATATACATAATGTGTGTGTGTGTTTTATATTATACAGTTTATATATTTTTTCGTTCTAGGTCTCCCTCTTCCTCTTTTTCCAACTATTATGCAATTAGAAATTGTGATATTTACATTCTCAGTTCATTTCGCAAAATACTGCCACGTAATCGAACTCAATTGCAGACGAATAGCGTATCGTATTCCCTCGCGAGTCCGCGTTCGGTCTTCGCCCCGTGCGGCGCGCCGCCGTATTCTCGCCGAGGCCGCGCGCCGTGCGGCGAATGCCAATGTCGCGGCGGCCGTCGCCAGCATATCGCCAGGGGTCACGTGACGCCCAACGTCACGCGCGCGTCGCCGTTGCCTATCGCGACCGTCTCGGACGCCGCGGCAGAGCCTCGCACAGCGTCGGCCCGTCACACACGACAGCATTTGCTGCTAACTAATTGTTGTGTTGCTAAATATTTACTACTAGAGCGTTCCAAAGCGCAAACCGATAGTGGTATGAGCAATTGTTTTTTATAAGAGGAAGCAATACCGTTAGAACTTAGCTGCATATGCGCCGTCAACTTCGGTGTGGATCAACCACCGTTTTCTTTTCACCGACCTCTCCCTCCGACTTAAGGAGGCAGCAGCTAAGCACGGTATTAGATGACCAAAACCAGTCCAGGAATCTACAATGCCTTAGTGATCACGGCTAAATCGACATCTGACATTCAAAAATGAAAAATCTTGCTTATGTGTTTCATTTAGAATGTCTCCAACTATTGAAAAAATAAAATTCGCAATTAGTGCAAAAAGATGCAAATACGAGTTGACCAAAAATGTTACATATATGTAACAAGAGACACTATAGAGGATTAAGTCCGTTTTACACGGGTATTTTTTTCATAATTTTTCAACGGTATAGATAAGAGAGGGGATGTAATTTTTACAGAAAAATTACGCATGCTTCATTTCTTTGTATAGATTTCATTCAGTTTGACTAACGCGTTTCTGGGTCACTTTCAGGAACTTTTCTCGTTTACTATGCGTACAGTTTGATTTGTTTATTTTGTGCAGTTTAGAAAGCGTTTTAATGTGTTGTAATGTAATATTAAGTGATTGTAGTAGTGTAATGTAAAACATGCTCAATATCGTCTCGTTCTGTGCTCAGTTCCAAATTAACCCAATTTAAATCGTTAACCCAGATACGATGTTCATCTGTTTGATATTCAGCGCTTTTTGCGGCGTCCAGAAGAAATATTTTTCCACGATTAACTGCGGAAAAAGAAATGACTGTGTAAGATGCTGGATGTTGTTCACCCATTTTCGATACCGAAACAGTATCCCGTAGAAACTAACATCTTTTTCCCATCCTTTTCTACACAGAAAAATGTTGCAAAAAAATGACCGTTACACGTCTCCTTTTGAGGAACAGGCTTTACACGCTTCCTTTTCACGAACGATTCCGGAGTTTTAGCAAAAGCGTACATTCGCAGTGTTGCTTCTAAAACGCTTGAAGTGACACTTTGCATGCGCGCGTTCACTAAAACATCGGAAATGGTCCGCAAGAGAAGAGTGTTTTGCCGGCTATGAGTAGTCGCCGACGCAAAGACTTCTCATGGCTGAATAGCGCCAGGGTGCACATTGGCGGAAGAGTTGACGGTGATCGACTCGCTTTCCGTGTAAACGGGCCTTTTGCCTACTGAAAAATAATTAATTTCTTTATACCAGGGACACAATTAATTCACATTAAATGTTTCGTTTATGATTACCACACAGCGATACTATCGCGAACATTATTAAGATTCAGAGTGTGTTGCGTAAGATATGATGTTTTTCGTTTCATTTATTTTTTGGATTCGTCTCCATCTAGAGTTTTCAATATCCTTCTCTGGCTTCAGAAAATGTTGATTCAGGGAGAATCAGCAACCTAAGCCATTAGTGCCGTACTTGCAGTGCATGTCATCCCGGAAGATGACGGCGTTTGTCCTCCGCTGAACCGTGAGATTCGGGGCCAGCATATACGACAACGTGTGCGGAAAATACCTTTTCCAAGTAGTTCCTCCAAAGGGGCCACGTCCCCGCCGGGGCAAGCTCTAAGCTCCTGGATGATCTTCCCACAAGAGTGATAGTTTAGTGTAAGTGTACAAGTGGATAAGAAGTGAGGAGGGGACAGAAACAAGAAAACACGGTTCGTAGGCTTCCGCGGCCGGAGTCAATACATTCTTGGCTACCCGGGATGAGTCGCGTCTCGGTCAAATGTGCTGACGTTTCGGCCATCTTGCTGTGACCTTCTAAAGAGATATACTGCTGATAATTCAGTAGTATAGCTCTGAAGAAGGTCACAGCAAGATAGCCGAAACGTCAGCATTATTGACCGAGACGCGGATGATCCCGGATAGCCAAGAATGTAAAACACGGTAAGTAGTCATGAAGAAACTACAGATCAGAGAAGCTGGACGCTGCTATTCTCTTCCTCACAATGGTTTAGTTTGATCCAGGTAGGAGGGTAATGGCGAAATTCAACCACCGTCAGTAGTCGAACTCTAAGACACTCAGTGAAAGATGCGGCAGAGGCAACGTTGTTGACACTGAGTCAACGCAGTTAGTATCAGGTATACAATACCCTTTAGGTGCTCGTTTACCAATTTACCCTTGAAAATGCTCAAATCATGGAAAGCAAATCAAGGTATTTGCCCAAGAAAACTATACTGACAGCAATCATATAATTCATTCAGTGTTGCATAACGGAAGATGATATTGTTTCACTCACCAATTCTTAGATTCACACCTCTTTAAGTTCTAATGTCCTAATTGTGAATTCGATTTTTGAATACCGTCTATATCCTGGTCGCTCCATTTGAAATTTGGGTGGATAATGGTGTAAATATATGGATTACGCTCGTGTGAGCCAGATGATGAGCTCAAGATGATGAGCTCAAGAGGTTGCTGAGGAACAATTACTGGATTCTTAAAATAAATATGAATAACGTGATTCATGCGTGCGGCAGTCAATCAGACAGGAAGTCATGAGACGTAGTAAAGTGTTCGTTTGGAGTTATCAGAAAGTAAATATCTTTCAATTTAATTTAAATTAATCATAATAAATAATAAATTGATTAATTAATTAATTGGATTTCAATAATTTTAAATAAATTTCTAGAATTATATTGTATCCCCTTTAACAAACAACACTTGCACAACGTTTTAACTACTTCCTATTTTCTCCACGACGAAGATTTGGGGGATGTCAGAGCTTCAAATGGCCCTGATCAGCATTCGTATGATATTCTTCTTCTTTCCTATCTCTTAAATACACGCAGGCGCTCAAGTACTTGAAACTGACGCTTGGGATTGCTGGGTAATGTAATAAAATTTTTTATGTGATTTATATATATATATATATATATATATTTGGGATTGCTGGGTAAAGTAATAAATTTTTTATGTGATATATATTATATATATATATATTATATATATATATTATATATATTATATATATATGGTGATCATACTTTTACTTCAACGACGTCGCTGCGACATTAAGTCTAAATAGGATATGTGTCAAACTCGAAAAAGAAACGCGCAGTCGGGTGGCCAATGAAGAAGGTTTAGTGAGAAAATTTTTCGACGTTTATGTACCATCGGCGTCAACGAATGTGTCCATTTAATAGGGTTCTCAATTTTTAAAGTTTATGCGATATAAAATCGCTCACAATTTTTAAGTACTATTGTGCCAGCGTTTTCAGCGATTGTTCCGATATCTCGTAATGCAGATTCGCACTTCAAATAAGAGCACTGCCCACCGGCCATAAACGTATTTTTTCTTCTCAAGAATTTACATACTATTGCATACACTCCGGAATTCTGAAAGAAAATGATAAGTAATTATTTAAAATGTTTTTCAGATCTGAAGCTGGACTTCACATGCGAATAGAAAAAATAAGGAGAAAGTCAAGAAAATGTCTTGAACATTACCTGATGTTTCCTTCATTTTGAAACAAATCTTTTTTTCTTTATCAGTTTCAATTATTCCTAAATGTTTTGAAGCAATTGAAAACGAATCATTGCATGCTAACGCGTGAAAAGATAATCTCAGCAGAAATTAAGGTCTCTTCATTTGGCAATAGGAAACACAATGATCTCATCGAGATAAACATAACTGAAGATTCACCAATCTTCACGTTTATCACACGAGAGAGACATATGAATGACAGGTTACAGTCACCCATATCGACTACCTGTCACTTTTGACAGTGACGTCTGTTCGAACGTCGTCACAGTTAGTGGAAAAGTTAAAAATTCTGAATGAAAAGTATTTAGAGAGTCAAGGTTACACCAAAAGATGTAATACGAAGAACATTTCTCGGTCATTGTGTTTAACTTTTATTATATGAATAGATAAAATAGTTAATTGCGAAGATGTATCAGCTGCAATTGTTACAGGTTTCTGCAATTGAAGAGCCTAAACAAATGTCTTTATTCCGAGGGGTTAAACCGGTTGAATTGAGCACAGGGCATCAAATGATGTCACTGTAGTCACTCTGACCGGGAGGTCCAACGGTTGCGACATTAGGTACATACCTGTGTCGGATTTAGTCGCTGCCTGGAAGAGAATTCTAACGGCCAGTTACTCTGATCGGTGGTTTTTCCTGGCATCTCCGATCAACGCCAGGCTAATGATGTAGCAGCACCCTAACAAATGAGCCATGAACCGCACACAATCTTTCCTTCCTCTTCATTTCCTAAACTCTCCCCTTACAGTTACATTTACATCCACTACACTTCCACGCACGAGACCAGTTGGGAGGCAGGAGGTTGTTCTGATTAGGACAGTGCTCCGCTGATGGGAGATATCTGGAAGCAGAAATGCTCCGCAAGTCGGTGTGTAGGTCAATAATAGATCTCAACATAAATTTGGGAAGGAAGAAATCAACGCCACCTCCAAGTATAAAATATTCACTCCCCTTACGACAATAATGGCCCTAGTAGTTGACGTGCCCCGAAATATCAATCAATAAGCACATCAGCCAAAGGAGTTGTCAAGTCTAGTTCAATGAAATAGAGATAAATGATATAAATTAAAAACATTTGAAACTGTTTGAGATTTTCTCGTGGCGTTTGTTTAGGCTTATCCACTCAGGCAATTTTACCTCCATGTTAATATGTTGCAGTTAATGATTGTGGGTCACAGTTAATTAGTGTTTTGAAAGATACGAGTACTTATAGCGCTATGGTTGTTAGTGCCCGTAAATCAACCAGACTAGAAAATTGTAGTCATTTTTTACATGATTGTGTGCGGCGTACAATCTGGCTATCAATTCAAAGAATTTTCAAATTAAGAGCTCTACAAGCTGTTACATTATTCCCCAAAAACTTGTTCGCACCCTTTAGAACTTTCTGTTATTTGTAAATATAATATTTCGTTGTATACTTGGCCGTAGAGAGACGCTGCGTCCTAGGCACAGTTGTCAACATTTCGGTCGTTAAAATACGACATTATCTCAGAGAAAAATGTCGTATAATTGATTATGAAGATTCGAAATGATTTATAATGGAACAAAGGTGGAATGAGATGTACGGAAAATGGGAGAACTCTGAATACATCTCCGATGCGAACTCGCATTCTCCACCACAATTTCCACATTAATCGGCCGATATTTCAACCGCAGTCACACATGCCATGCATAGTGAATTACAGCACCATCATTACCACGTCATAGCAGCTGTAAACGGTCTGGCGCCTCCCAGATCCCACCAGTCAAATTAGCACGCCGCTTCCTGTTCTGTTTTCAGGGTTTGGGGCCAAAAAGAAGGGGATGGTGGACACTCACCATCACCATGTACTATAAAGTGTAAACGCGCTTGCGCCTCCCAGACTGCTTCATCCGAATAAGCGCGGCGCTGCCTGTTGTGTTTCCAGGGCTGGAGGGCAAGGCGGTGGAGGCGGGGGCTCCGGGGGCGGGGGCGGGGGCGGGGCCGGAGGCGGCTACGGAGCGGCGACGAATCGTCCGCAACGTGGCGGTGCTGAGCGCCGCCTTCATGGTGCACTTCACGGCCTTCCAGGGCGCGGGCAACCTGCAGAGCTCGGTCAACGCGGAGAAGGGGCTGGGCACGGCGGCCCTCGCCACCATCTACGCCTCGCTCATCCTCTCCAACGTCTTTCTGCCCGTCCTCGTCATCCGGTGAGTGACACGTGGCGCGTTGCGCGTCGGACATTGTGTGGGATCGACTGAATTGACGCGGGACAGTCGTCTCTACAGCGTCTCTGACCGGGACATTCTAAAGTCCGAGTTCCGACGGTGGCGGACTTTCTACACTGGTTAGGTAACCGAGTCGAATTCAGTCGCTGAGTCGAATTCAGATAGCTGAGTGGAGTTCAGATTCTTCTCGTCTTTTCGATAGTCCTCGATAGCGGAAATCGACAATTTCGGATCAATACCAGGCGAATGGAGGAGAAGTTCCCTTCAAACATGTTTTGAACGTTGGACGATCTTTTCTTCTTCTTTCTTGTCCTATACTCTCCTCTTATTCAATGACACACGTACATGCACTACTGTACCTCACGTGACGTGAGATCAATCAAAAGCTTGTAGTATGTGCGGGCTGTGACAGTGCCGCTGGTACAGATAACTGGAGAGGAAACGTCCCCGCATGTTGCCATAATATTCACTACACGAACAGGGCTAATGATTAGAGTTGACGTGCTCAGAAACATCAATTTTTAGAGGAATAGTAATGGATGATATCCCCTCTTGGAGACGAATTTGTTTCCAAAGCAAAGAAGTGAGTGAGTTCAAATCTAAAGGATATAACGCGTATTTTTATTATTTCTGGAAATTACAGAGCTCGGTAACGCTACAATACGAATCTAGGGGAGTAGCAAACATTTACATACAACGTGTACACTGTTTTTCATTCAAGTGTAGATGTAGTAAACACCTTAAATACCTTTCCAAACTTCTTACGTTCATGGTTTTGGTTTTGTTTGTAAAACTAGAAACTCATCCTAACAGTCATACCCGGCAATGAGCGAATGACTTAGATGGCTAAGATATTACGAAGATTAGACATGAATCATGAAGTTGAGTGGGAGGCGTGGAAATAAGGAAGCTTGAGAAAATCTGCCGCGAATCCGTTTGTCTCACAAGTGTCGACCAGAATTTGAATCTCAGAACTGCGATGGCTCGTGCAGGATTTTTAAGAGGGGGAAAATGCTCAAGCAAATACTATGACATTAAATGAAACATACAAAAAATTAGATTACATGCAGGAGTAAACAAAATTTGTTACCTTTGCGAGCTAAATTATTGATAGAAGAACCCTTAAAAGTAGATCACGGCAATTGTCGTTTTTCCAATAATAGGTTAATTTTAGCTTAAATGTTAATGAAAATTACTAATTTTTAATAAAATATATCTATTTTAAGCGGAACGGGCCACTAGGCCCAAACCTTGTTGCTGCTGCTGCTGATGATGATGATATCTATTTTTAATAAAAAGTACCTAATTTTTTAATAAAAAATACCTAAATCAATAATATTACTAAAATAGAAACATGACAAAACGACCCCCGAATCTGAAAATATAAAGCATGAAAAGCACCCAAGAATTTGTCTTTACTCGCAACGTGTGATAGCTGACAATTGAAGGCATTCTACAGGAGTAACTTCTTCACTCAAGCCGTAGTGCTTCATTGAAAACGTATCCTCTTCTTGCCGCCGCAGCGCTGTCGCATATGGATCATTACTAATGAGAGAAGGAATCGCTGAGAATTCCTCAATGCGATTTCGAGTTATCGAGTCGTTTAAAAGCGTGCGCTGTTTAAAAAACTCGAACAAAAAGAATTTATAATAACTTTAAACTAAACAATATATACATTTCTCCTAAAAATTCAAAGAAAATGTTGTATTGGGTACTTACATTCAAAAGGAGAAGATGCGCGAGGTATACATTCCTCCCCTCCCTTGAGACACTTTCACTGTCTCAGTATTCAGAGCTTGAGACGTGTGTAAAAGATTGGAGTAATATGTTTCGCTTAGAGGATAAAAATAAATAACGCAACTGTATTAATTAATGTAAAAAATATCAGAAGACACTCGTGCACCGAAGCAACATCTACAAAAGTGAGAGTTCATTTCTTGAATCAGAAGGAGATAGCCATGCGTGAAGTTGAGGGTGAAGCCATGGTACTACAACTGCCAGACTATCTCTTACAGTGAAGAAAACATTGTTGAATGTGATGAGAGAGAGAGAGACAGAGAGACAAAGAGGCGGAGAGAGAGACAGAGAGAGAGGGACCATAGCTAACCATACAGAGGGGGAGAGAGAGGGAGAGAAAGAAGGAGAGAGAGGGAGAGAGAGGGAGAGAGAGGGAGAGATATCTCTGAAAGAGAGCGACACAAGCTTGAAACATGAAGTCGTCCATTATCTCTGATCGCTAGAAAGTCACACATATTCTTCATGATCTCTTTAAAGAAAGCATATTTACATATGGACCCTGATATCACAATGTGAGCAGACTATGACCACACCATAGCTAACCATACAGCCATGGGTTTGGGATAGCTGTGATAAGCAGATCGCAACTTCTTACACCGTCTATATGGAGTTCTCCTGCGAAAAGTTTTTTACATTTTTAACCAGATATATGAACTGGGAAATGAAGTCGTAGGCTTCCGCGACCAGAGTCATGTGGGTGATCTGGGCTGTCCGGGTGACGCCGCGTCGAAGGCTGAGTTGCCGACGTTTCGACCATCATGTCGTGGTCTTCCTCAGGGCTGGTATGCCAGCCCTGAGGAAGACCACGACAGGATGGTCGAAACGTCGGCAACTCAGCCTTCGACGCGGCGTCACCCGGACAGCCCAGATCACGAACTGGGAAATGGTAGTGATAAACGAAAGTTTAATCTTTGCTCCATCTTGGAATCGGGAATTGAACCCGGGAATCGAATACGAGAATCGGGAATCTAAAGATGCATGGAAAGCTAATTTGAAAACCATGAGTCACCGGGGAGGGAGGCAAATAATATTTATGCCTAATTAATACTTTTAATCATAAAAAGGTTTAATGTGCCACTAGTAATAAACTGGTAACAATAATTTTGGTAATAATAATATTAAACTAAAAATAATAAACGTATAATAATCCAATGCAATTGTCCCAAAAGCTACATGATGGACATTCTTTGTAAAAATGATGCCATGACAATTGAGAATAATATATAGAAGCCTGAACATGGGGATATGTGATGATTTTACCGTCTGTACTTGCGCGTCACTTGTTTAATAGTAGATCATACACAGACCAGATTTACCCTCATAATCTAAATCTATCGTTTTCAGTTCACTGTCTGAATGTGAACTCCCTGGTTATACGGTGTGTGACTTTGATCGACTGAGAATCGCATTGGTGTCGACTAGGTTGCGTACCTGCCTTCTCGTGATCCGCACTCGAAACAGAGATATGCAAATTTACTTTCGGAATTACGACCAACTACAAACACGAATTACGAAGAAAATAAGAAGCCGACGGGTGCCTTTGTTGCGTTTTCCTCTCCGGGTTAAGTTCACTGCTGTACGAGTATGTCGTAAAACCAGAACGATAAAACGTAACTAGCGAAATTGTTAAATATCTTCAGCGTGGGTGAACTCCATTAATATTTCGCAGATCCTTGCAATTTAACCTGGGGACCTACATAACGAGTTCTGAGTTTTGCATGACAAAATATTCTAAGTCACCAAAAACGATTATTTCATTGTACTGGAAGTGGTCCAATAACGATAAAATGTTTGCAGTATTTACATGTTTTCGAAATTTTATGACGTTACATAGGTACGACGTTAAAATTTAGTTTATGATTATTCGTTTTTACTTGCTAATACTTTCTGCTTAATCGTCGTTTTAGTCACGTGCCTCACACTGTTTGTATGAGGCAAAAATTAGCTCACTGTATTGCAATTATTTTTAAAAAAATTATCACAGGTAGAAAAGTTCACCCCTAAGCTCAAATTGTTATGTATTGTTTAATTACACATTGTGTAATTAGCTTCTTCGCTAATATTAGTTCCAATTACACCAAAATACACAAAATGTAAAACACAAATTTTAAAATTGATACTTTCATCACCTCTTAATTTTAAGGTTCCTTTAAATTTGTAGGGAGCAATTCCAACCGTTCGTTCCCTTAGTAAAATTACAGCGTGTAGACTATAACTAGCCCCTTCAGTAGTATACACAACAACTCTCCCAAAATGCGGTAATGAAAATGGAGAAAAATACGTCGCAAATGTTGGAAAGAGTATCACTTTGTAATTGCTGTAGTATTGACGATTTTCTAGAAAATCGAGCAAGTCCAGTGATTGTACAAGATTTCCACAAGATCGTATGAGTTAATAATTTCCGTACAACATTGAGGAGATAAAATTATTTTTCAGAGCAAATATAGTTTTTTTAATAATAAGATGTGCGCTGAATCTACGAAGACATTTATTACCACTTGATACTTTCAGACACTTTAGCCTAGTTTCCTTGCTAGGTTGGTTATGTAGCACAGCTTATTTTCCTTGAGCACGTGACTTTTTTTTTCTCGGAAGGTTCCAAAATTTCTTTTTATATTCTTTCATAATATATTCATGTATTGAATTCTTATTCGAATAATTGTTGATGTAAATAGAAAATCAGTTTTTAAATATATAATTTTTTATATTAACTTTCACTAAATTTACATTTCGAACGTTTTCAATGTTCCTTGATGAATGCCACAAATATCAACGATCCCTAGAATCAAAAGTTTAATAAAAGTAGTGATAAGTATAAATGTTTTACCATATATAGAGTTATATAATTCCAAAGCTACAGTTAATTTGTCATCGTTGTTTGTCCAAGCTTTTTGTAAGTAATGATTCTACAGCTTTTTCTTTACTGCTGAAAGATTTCCATTTATGAGCGCTTTGATTGGTTTTACTGCTCACACCGAAGTTTACTCATTACTGACAAGTAATCTTAATTTTAAGAAAAATTCGTTTAAAGGGTGTATTGACAGTTATCTTCGACACCCCAATTGGGAACTTCTCCAAATGAAAATTGCATTTGATAATAAACGTAGGTTACCAATAATTCGTTTTGGAGAACCTGACATTTTGCAGTTGAGCCTCAGTAATGAAGAACTGTAGTGGTTAATTACTTTTAAACACTTAAATGGCTCAAGTACATACATAGTGTGAAGGTGCATGAAACTCTTTCATAGAGTGAAATAGAGTGGCAAGTGTGAAATATACGTTTTATAGTTGTTTAGTTATGTCCTCGACCTTTGTTATAAACAATTGACGGTTCGCGAACGAGGGAATGTTTATTTACTTTATTCACCAGAATGACAAACGAGCGAAAGGTTATCGTGACGGTACAAATAAATAACAAAAAGATGAAATTAACTTAATGGATTAAGTCTAGAAAACAACGGTATTGAAATTATAATTTGTATTTTGATCGTGAGACAAGTGATCGGGATATACATTATGTAAGTGCGGAAGTTTGAAAAAAAGATAGAATGAAAAGGGACTTCCATTTCCTGTAAAGGAAGGGCTTCCGCTCTCAAGACCCTAAACAAACTTTCTAAAACGGTGCAAAATTCCGTTTAGTGTGTTAGTTATTCATATTTTTATAAATACGCGGAGGAATTAATTTTTGTTTTAATTTAAAGGGCTAGTAACGAAAATGGAGTGGAACTGTTTCAGTGGCACGCCCAACACAGGGAAAGAATATAAATATTATTCTTATTATTATTTAAATAAGGCGATACCAGGTTCCGTTTCAATAGGTCGCTGATATAGACGCTTCACTAACAAAACTGCACGTTTCTAGAATCAGAAAACGTTCACACAATACACTTTTCTCCATAGTTCGTCACACACAGTTTTTCCCTGTTTTGACGTGAAAAATAAATAGAACATGTCAACGACTCATCACACACGGAAAGCAAGAATTCACATCCTCTCCCAAGAGGAAAGTATCGAACAGACCATCCTTCAGATTAAAGATTGAATTGGTAGGCGCTCTTAACCATCTTGGTCATTCAGACTGGCATTACAATTTCGAATCACCAAAAACTAAACCGGGAGAGAAAGCTCAGTTCCCTCTGCGGCATCGTTGACTGTGAGGCCCTTGGATCAAATTCCGACGGTGGTGAATTTTCACCATTAGCTATATAGCTACGTCGAATTCAACCACTGTCTGAAGCCGAATTCTATCGTTCGACTGCTCTGATTGGTAGTTCTCCTGTAAATACTAGACGAATGGGGATGCAGTACGCTAACGAGTCAGGATCGTGCGAGGTCTATCCTTCGTATTCATTTTTCCCTCCCCTCCCCTCCCCCTATACAAGCGTATAAGTTCATGTACTACTCTATCACACATGTCGGGTAACCAGTCGGGAACTTATAAACTGCTACAGCTAAGACTGCACTTTGCTGGGGGACCACATTGAGTAAGAAAACTCGCAAACCAACTTGTAGGTTGTCACCAAATCTGACGTTCCCGAGGGTGAAGAACACCGCCATGTCCCGGTATATAACGTGCACTACTATTACAGGACTGATTATCTAGTCCGATGACGCGCTCGTAACTAATAAAAACTCACAAAATCTGAACTAAAATCATTATTACACACAATTATCACCGGCTTGCCCACAATTATCTCATTGACTGTGAATGGCAAGGAAGCAAACACGAATTTTACGTAATGATGGTAATTAATATACATGACACTCTATCACGCATACATTCATCAAATCGTGCATTCACAGCCATCAAAAGTACGTGAATGACGGCTGAATGCGGCAGCTGCAACGAATAACTCCAAATACTCCCGGCCCGATTTCGAATTCACGCATACTTTTTTTTGCGTTAGTTTTACAGGAGGTTATCGGCACCGTACACAGGATGCCCGGCTGAATGCGACACCTGTCATCTACCTCGTCATAAATTGAACGCGCCCCACAGGTCCTGGGGAAGGGGGAGGGGGAGGGAGAGGGTCGTAGAGTCATTGATCTCGATGTGAATAGTTCACGCTCGCTGCGACTGTTTGCCGCAAGCAAACACTGCCCGAAGCTACCCCTTTGGTTGTGTTCACATTCATAAATTGCTGCTCCATTCGCTGAGCGTCGTAGCCAAAAGAAAACCAAACTATTATTGACATGAAATGTAACGCAAAAAACAACTTACAAATAATAAATCGGAGAAGTGACAATATTAGAAGAGTTTTATGAAGGTTTACACATATAATCTTTGTGAGCAGTATGTTCTTTTCAGTGACACTACAACTCAAGTAAGGCTCTGACATGACATCCTCGTGAGAGGATGTGGGTGGTTTCGAGATCATGTGGGTGGAGAATACAGAAATGAGAAATCAGACCATCACTCTCAAGAAGATGAAGATCCATACGATCTGCCGTCCGTGCCTCATTGTTTAATTTATATAAATTTACCGGTACAATTTACTTTTATACAATTTCAGTTTGTTATAACATCTCAATTGCCAGAAAATGAAATACAAGGTAAAAAGAAAGCAATTAATGAGAATTAATTGTGTTAAGAAAGGCATGTCTTAATATAATTGTATAAAAGGAAAGTCATTTTATTATTACATTATATACCGAAGATATTTACTCTTTGCAGTGTACCCGAAAATGGAAACAAATAATTTTCGAAACTTTGTAACTGATTTTTAACAACATTAAATACATAAATTTACAAGCATGATTATCTATAATTTAAATGGAAGAAAGAATAATAATGTGTCAATACGGAAACAAGTCATATCAGTTAAATTCTCCTATCACCGGGCTGTTGATTCCAATGTGAACAGTTGTCGCTCATCGAACAGTTTGGATGTCGCATCGCAGACCGTCGCCGCTTTTGCTCCCAAATGCCAGCGCTTTCCCGGGCTCGAAAATATGCATGACAGTATCGCTAGCAGGTGGAATTATATCAGTGTCCTCCCTCCGGCAGCCGCCTGTATTAAAGCAGTGTAGGGAGTAAATACATCCGATGTAGGGAAACACATAGTGACAGGTCGAATTTACACACTCGCGCTGTTTGGCAAACTCAAGCGCTATAATTATAATTTGAGCGGGGGTAATATTTTCCAGGAAAGCATAATTTATGAGCGAGGAATATTCTTGATTTTGCCCTAGGGATAATGTAGGAAAGTAATTTCTCTTCGATTTTCTGTCACGTAATTCGTTTGTATTAAATGGTCGTACGTTAAGATCATACTCGTTCTAATTACGTTCCAGAATGTCAGATTTGAGAACAATGTAAACATGATGCCGATACATATTTCTTAGCATTACGATAAAAAGTGTTTGTAAATTTTACATTTCAAACTGTAGTATTTTCAAATAAGAAACCCAATTATTTGGACTGTTTAAAAATAACTTATTTCTTGGTATTGCTTTGCTACTTTGCTTTCATTTCTAAAGTAACTATTAATTTAACGTTTTCATATGATTTGTTTGTGGTTTTTTCAATACATGGAAATATTAACGATATATGTCTTACAGAAAAATCGCAATACAAATTCATGCTCCGAAAGGAAGGAGCGAACATTTTTCAATTTTATATCTTCTGCTTTTCGGAATCAAATTTATAACCAAAATTTTTTTTCTAAGGAAACACGGCGTTTCTTATGTAGTTGCTTTTCTTACCATCCCTCAAAAGTTAAAGCTGAAGTTAAAAGGGGAAAAAAGTTCAAATAGAACTATCAAACTAAACACTGCCGTCAATAGGTAAAGAGATTATAATTAGCTTATAAACACTGTGTGCCTAAAGCCTTTCCAGAGGCCAACGAAATTCTCTCGAACGCATCCCTGCGAATCACATACTGATTTTCCTCGCCACTTAAATTGCGCTCGCAAAGACCTCGTCTAAAGGTCCAGATTGCTTTGAAGACGAGACGAGGAGAGGTCTTCTCTCCCAATGCGATTACCCGTTCCAGGTGACTTTCCACACCTCGTTTCCTCCGCTCTTCTTCGCAGCCTCTTCGGAGCCCCGAGCGCTCTTGCGACTGGCCCGCCCCTGGCGGCGATGCGCGGAACTTCGTCGTGGGAGCAACAGGTGTGGGCGGCGCCATGCTCCTCCTCCTCTCGGTCCCGGACGCGCTGCGCGAGGAGGAAGGGAGGGAGGTCGGGAGATCGTGAAGCGAGAGAAAGGGGAAGTGCGGGCGAGCTATCGGGCGCTCGCACTGGAATAATCGTCTTATCGAAGAGATTAGTCTCTTCCTGCCCCTTCTCCGACTTCTCTCGTGCAGCTGCCCCGACCGGTATTCGCCTCGTCGCGTCGCCTAATGCGTTCAAAGGAGACTCTATATTGGAGATAAACGCCAACATGATACGTGTCGAATATTGTGGTGATGTAATAAAAACGTTTCGTGTAGTAAAACAGTGACATGTAGTGAAACCATATGCTATCACTGCCCTTATTCTTACCGTGTTCGTTGTAACATTCATGTCTATTTACCCAATACCTGCAGTTTCGAATGAATTACACTCCATCTCGATCAAGTTTTTGATCCCGTTCACTTGATTCTTTGACTGAAAGCTAACATAGCCCCTTGTTTCACTTCTAGATATAAATGTAACTTCACCGTCTGTGCACGTTTTCTTGAGTTTAGTGGGCAATATATTTATTCGAAATAACTTTGTTCATTTTCTCATGGATGGAATCAATTGTATCAAATGTTATACAAATTTACCAATAGGAAAATTAACCGAAAATACAACCAACATACATTTTTACTTTTCCGTACATACCTATATATACGTAGTAATACACGTAGTATAGGGAATGTTATGTAATGCTGCGCAAAAAAAGGCGGATTTTCGGCAAAAAATCATTACTGGGCCTTGATAACGAAAAAGTGGATAAATCTAGTTTCTAAATTAAGAAAAAAAACCTCTAATACGTGATGTAACCAAAATCCCTGTTTCGTGGGTCCTTGATACCGAAAAACCAATTGACGGCAAAACAGTCCTCTGTTCGTCAGTCTGTGAACACCACTAGCACCTACCAAACAGTACGTACGATTTTTTTCAAAATGGATATTCACCATTCGATCTAGCTCCACTCGAGGCGTCGTGATTTTGAAAACCTTTCTTAAAAATTTGGGAGTACTTTA